GGGAGTCCGACCAGCAGTGTGGGCGGCGGGTGGGCAAGTTCCACTGCGGTCAATGGCACCGGGACCCGCGCGTGCCCACCGCCCAGGAGAGCCGTGCTGTGCTTTGTCCTCCGCCTTTTAAAAGAGTTTCTGTTTTTCCTACGAGGTTCTTTTCTTCTGTTTCCATATCTGCCTCCTCGCCCGCCTTCCAGGGGCTGGCCGTTCCCGGAGGCTCAGCAGTTTGCACTTGTGTTTATAAAAAACAAAGCCCCTCACAACCCAGTTAGTACCTTGCCGTCACCTACTACTTCCTGCCTTTTAAATGCCCCCTCCCCTCCCGAAATGGAGAAAAGCAGAGGCGGGCAGGCGAGAGCCGGTCCCAGCTTCCCAGCTTCGGTGAGGGCAGCATGGGAGCGTTGTCACGCCGCCCTGACAGCCCATGTCAGCCTGGACGGTGACACAGCCAGGGCTGGGATTTCACCCCATCTGACCGGCTCCAATCCCCGGTGTGTTGCCTCCTCTGCTTTTACGGTCCTTCCCGGAGGCGCCCCGTCCTGTGCAGCGGGCGCCCATGTTTCGGGGATGAGGACGCACTCTGGGAGGTAAGTGGGCCTGCACCAGTCGGCATGGTTGCGAGTGGCCTCTAATCCCGGACACTCACCTCCAAGTCCCCACACTCTCGCCCCGCCCCGCCGGGCTTCAGGACCCCCGCGCTCACACCGCGCTGTTTTGCTGCTGGGGTTCCGGTGGGCAAGTCCCGAGGACAGACAGGTGTGTCTCAGGCTCAGAACCAGGCCCGATCTGCTGCCCAGGAGGGGAACTGAAGGTAACCCGACCTCAGTTGCAGACTGAAATGTGCATGGAGCGCAGGCAGAGAAACATAAGCCAGAGACCGTGAAGGGGCAAGACCACAGGGAGTGGGCGAGGACAGCCACTGAAGTTAAAATAAAACCCAATGTGTAGCCCGGCCAGTGTGGCTCAGTGGCTGAGCACCAATCTATGAACCAGGAGGTCAGTTTGATTCCTGGTCAGGGCACATGCCCGGGGTTTCGGGCTCCATCCCCAGTGTGGGCTGTGTAGGAGGCGGCCGGTCAATGATTCTCTCTCATTGATGATGTTTCTATCTCTCTCTCCCTTCCTCTCTAAAAATCAATAAAAATATATGTGTA